TGGCTCCCAGGAGAGGCGTCCTGGGGACATGTTGACATGTGTGGCCACCACGGCACAGCATGCCTTGTGTGGGAAAACTCAGTTCATTTTTATATCCTCCTCCCCCTGTACCATCAACATAGACTTAACTCCCTTAAGACCAGAGACCTGTTGGAGCCTGATCCCCAAAATTGGTTTTGCCAGTCTGTTGGGCAATCTGGACTTTGCAGTGATATCATTGAGTGTCCTCAAAAGCGCAGAGGTTCCTTTTATAGAAGATTGTGGATCTGCAGATTGATAATTCTGCCATTTTCATTTCATTTCCTGAAAGTCAGGGTCTGCTTGTGAAGAGTTGTGAAACAACATCCTCGATGTGAAATGTCAGCCCTCCCTCCCTCTAAACTCCTCCCCCTTTGCAGAGCATCCAATGGAGACTCACGGGGTTTTATGTCAGCCCTCACTCTAAACTCCTCCCCCTTTCAGAGCATCCAATGGAGACTCACCGGGTTTTATAGTGGCTTTCTGATTTTGGTAGTTGATACAAGAAGGGAATTTGGAAGTTCTTCTATACTGTTACCGATTGTCTGCCCATGTTCTGCCTGGAAAACCATGATTGTTTATGGAAAGTGTCTTTAATAAAGCTGGATACAGTTTGGCATGGAAAAAAAAAGAGAATTTGATCCAGCCAGGCCCTTGGAACGCTATTGTTTTCCTTAGTCATTAGCCTGAACTATGAGCTATGCAGCTCTTTAGGTAAAACTCATTGGCCCTAGTCGTATAACACTTTCCTGTATTTATTTTTAATCATCAAAACTTTATTTATTCTAACATTATCATTATCAACTAGACACAAAATTTTTATTAACACAAAATCATTTCCATAATAATCCACAGCTAAAAATGCCCAGTAGAACAGGATGTTTCCATGAGATACACGTGCTACACTATAGGCAGTGGGACCTACCCACAGCCACTGACACCATGCTAGACACCAGAGAAAGATGACAGTGGCAAACCCATAAAGGCAAAGCAGAAGAAAAAGACATTCTGGAGACTGTTCTCACGGCCTTGCCTATCTGAGATTCACCCGTCGGGGATTTGCCTTCTCGTGGACTGACACCTCAAACTTTAGTTACCACCTGCTGTACCTCTGACATGGTCACAAGCAAGTGTGTTTTCCCAGGAGTCCTCATCCTTTTTATTTTATTTAATTTTATTATGTGGCATGCTGTAAATCTTTCTCTTTTTCTTTGAGGCAAGTTCTTTCACTGGGCCTGGGGCATGCCAATTAGGGTAGACTAGCTGACCAGACAGCCCTAGCGGCCATCTGTCTCCACTTCCCCAGCAATGGGACTACAGGTATACACTACCAAAACCTGATTTCTATGCAGAGGCCAGGATTCCAGCTTAGGTACTCGTGCTTGGATCACAAGTACTTTACTTATTGAACTACCTCCGCAGTACTTTCTTGTAGACAGAAGTTTCTGCCCTGCCTATTTTCACAGCTATTCAGTCCCAAACAAACACACACAGGCTTACATTAATTATAAACTGTTTGGCCTATTAGTTCAGGCATATTATTAACTAGCTCTTACAATTTAAATTATTGTATATTTTTAGCCTCACTTTTATCAATGAGGCATTCTCATCTTGCTTCCTCTGTATCTGGTGGTGGCTGCATCTCTGCCTTCCTCTTCCCAGAATTCTCCTCATCTGGTTGCCCCGCCTATACTTCCTGCCTGCCTGACTATAGGCCAATCAGCGTTTTATTAAACCAATGTGAATGACAAACCTTTACAGTGTACAAGAGCTGTATCCCACAGTACTCTCTTTTTCACTACAAAAAAAGAGGAGGGAGGAGCTCTGTGAGCAGGTAAGTATGTCTGATGCAGCCCTGGGCTCTTTTTGCTTCCAGGGCCCCCTCCCAAGCCCAGCCTCAGCGCTTGGCCCAGTTCAGTGCTTCCCACCAAGAGCAGTGTGACAATGCAATGTAGGAGCCCCACCCCAAGTGAATTCTTCATCCTCAAAAAGGAAGGGCTTGTTTTTGATTCTAAGAAGCCAAATGATTCGACAGAGATGGCTGAGTTTCATATCCCTGAGCTACAACAGAATGATGGAGGACACTACACCTGTGAAACCTATAGCAAATGGCCCAATGGCATATCATCACAGCCCAGTGATGCCCTTCTCCTGTTGGTCACAGGTGAGGAGGGCTTGTCTCAGGGAGATATATGGTATCTTCAGAGAGAGGTGGAGTGAGGGACTGGAAGAAGGGAGGAGGAAGAGGGGCTGGATCTCCAGAACAAGGGATAAAGGAGCAGGAATGTGGTTCCACCTAGGCTTTGTGAGAGAGGAAAATGTCTGTCCTGGAGCCACAGTGTACAGTGAGAGGATGAGGCTCATGAGCTTCCTGCCACAGGAATAAGAATTTAAAAACAAAAAACAAACAAGCAAACAAAAACCTTATCAGGCTGTGGTGCACATGTTTTTTTTATCCCAGCACTAGAGAGGCAGAGGCAGGTGGATCTCTGTGAGTTTGAAGCCAGCCTGGTCTACAGAGCAAGTTCCAGAACACAGAGAAACCCTGTCTCAAAAAAACCAATAGGAATAACACCACCAACAACAAAAAACAAGAATGTGCATGAGGCCAACAGTTTCTTCCCATGCGCTCAGAGCCTCTTTCTTGTCCAGGGTACTTGTCTAAACCTTCCCTACAAGCTTACCACCAGGGCACAGTGGCTGCGGGAAGCAAGGTGACATTGCAGTGCCAGAAGGAAGGCAGTGTGCTCGGACCCATCAGCTTTGCCTTGCTGAAGGAGGGTCGCTCATCTCCTGTGCAGATGCGGAGCTCAGTGGGAACGGTGCTAGACTTCTCTCTTCAGAATGTAACAGCCAGAGACTCGGGGAAATACCGCTGTGTGTACTACCAGCCAAGGGCTCGCTATCGGGCCTCAGCCCCCAGCAATCCCCTTGAGATCTCCGTGACAGGTAAGGTTTGTTATTTTTTTCTGAACACTTGAGTCTGTCTGTGTGATGTGGGAGGGAGTAGTTAGCATACATGTTTTATTTAGTTATGCAAATATTTATAATTTTGTTGATTGTTATTATTATTGTGTTGAGACAGAATCTTACTATATAGTCCAGCTGGCCTTGTAACTCACTATGTAGACCAGGCTAGCCTCAAATTAACAGAGATCTGCCTGCCTTTGTCTCTGAATACTAAGACTAAAGGGATGCACTGCTACTCTGGCTTCTTGTTATTTTAATTAGTCTTTTGGATCACTATAAAATTAATCTTAATGGGGTATAGAATCACTAAAAAAAATAAATCTCTGGGCTTGTCCATGAAGGATTGTTTAGACAAGGTTAACTAAGGTAGGAAGACTCATCCAAAATGCAGCTGGTGCCATCAATAGACTTTGATCCCAGACTAAATAAAAAGGCTACTAAATAAAAAGCCCCAATCTCTCTCTCTCTCTCTCTCTCTCTCTCTCTCTCTCTCTCTCTCTCTCTCTCTCTCTCTCTCTCTCTCTC